AGATCTTTTCTTTGGCTCACTTCACATTGCATCATTTCTTCTCCATTTATCCACCACTAGCTGCAGACCTCTGTGTATTCAGCAGCAGACACATTCTCTGTCCTAGAACATCCATGTCACCCATTCACTCCCTCCTCCCAGAGGACTAAACCCTGCCTTCTTTATGGGTCAGCAGATCTCCTAAGGCCACTGACCCACAACTCACTTGAAATTCTGCATTTCTCTTGTCACTGTAGCCTTTTAAGAAGGTGGTTTTACTTTTGATTGTTTTTAGTCACTAGGTAAAGCACTCTCAAAACTTATATAAACACCACTACCCTGATCTGCATTCTTGACATATTTATGATGGATGAGGAAGCCTGCCAACCTGAGGTGTTGCCCCTGTCCACCCAAAACTAACTTTAAGAGAAAAGGAGGCAGGTACAGATGGAAATGCTGATATGTATACATTTTCACTACACAAATGATTTCTCCAGGAAACAGATTCCCTGATCACGTTTCCTGGAAGCCACATATATCTTTTTTCAAAAATACAAAGATCACTTAGGAAAAAAAGGAAAGCTAGTCAATAAAATGGGCTTCCTGGATAGCTTAAATGGTAAAGAATCTGTCTGCAATGTGAAAGGCCTGGATTTGATCCCTGGATTGGGAGGATCCCCTGGAGAAGAAAGAGCAACCCACTTCAGTATTCTTGCCTGGAGAATTCCATGGACAGAGGAGCCTGGTAGGCTACAGTCCATGGGATCACAAGGAGTCAGACACAAGTAAATGAAATATCACAAGTGATTCTCTGTCAGAATCAAGTGAAAGGAAATGAAATGACATTTCTGGACATGACATGTACCAAGATATAAAGGTAAGACCTCAAGAAAGCAACAGCTCTACTAAATACAAAGCCAGATTAATCCAGAGTATAAGGGCGTCTACCCAGTTCTCTGCAATGTAGGGGCGGAATGTCCATCCAACATCTACCAGAGCATGTTCATAAATCCCCATCTCTAAATATGTGCTTCCCTGGGAGCTCAGATGGTAAAGATGTATGAGGAGTAAAGACTACCTTCTTTCGGAGAGTTCAACTTTAAAAACCAACACATAATAGACGAGATAAGACAAATTCAAAAGGGATCTTAGAGACAAAATGTTTCCCACAGCAAAAGCACAGAGTGCAAGGACTCTTTAGTAACTTTATCGATCCCATTAACATATCTAAAGAAAGAATGTGTCAATCAGAAAGGGGATTCGGAGCAGAGGGCAGAGAAGTCACCAGATGGGAGAGAAGCGCTTTGGCAGAATGCTTCCCTGCAGTCCAGAGGGGAAAGGGCCCTGATTCAACAGCGCGGGCATCTGGCCGGCCTGGCAGATGCGTTCCTCGTGGAAAGATGGGCCACCTGACCAACAGCGGGGAGGCCAGCACATTCTGGCGCCTCAAACCCACTCTTCAGTCTGAGATCAGCACGCAACCTCCTGACCTAGTTATGGTCAGACTTCCTATTTCGTTTTCCTGTGGGGATAAAGTATACTGATTCTTGGTCACCTTGGGATATTTATTCCACTTAGAGTTGCGTTCTTCAAAATGAGCTAATGTGTTGACATTCTGGTGTATGTCTTTCGATGATGTGAATTAACATTCCTAAATTCCACGAGAGGGTGAGGGTGGGGGCTTCTTGATAACCAGGCAACCAGCATGTTCGGCAATAGGAAGATACTCCATATCGCTGTCTGCCTCTAACCCAATTCAGAATAATAATGAGCAAACAGTGCACATTTTCTATGTACTTAGACTTTGTACATTAAATCTTCACAATTCCCTTGTGAGGCAGGAATTATTATTTCCTATTATTACTTTATAAAAGAGAACCTGAGGTCACACAGTTTGCAAACAACAAAGCCAGATTTCAATCCCAGGACTGTCTGTTGCCTGTTCTGCTAGACAAAATAATTCAAACCTCGTGTCACCATCAACTAGAAGGCATAACCGGAAGCCAGCATGACCACTGTTCATAGTGGGAAACAAGGCAGCCCTCTTCAGGGGCTAATCGATAACCAGAGTCCCGTCAAAACATTCTGAGTGTGGATTCCGCCATCAATCCTCAACAGATACATGCTAGAGCTCTCAAACTGGCTTTGGGTTCCAATATCAAAGTGAGTTCAAAGCTTTCAATACTCTTCAGGATACATGGAATAGGCCTAATGGTCCTGAGCCTTCCTTACCCATCTATTTGAGAAATCGGTCACTGTATTCAGGATGAATGCTTGCTTTGCTCAAATACTGACCCACAAATAATGCCTAGAGTTGGCCCAAAATAATAAAAATAATAGCAGCAACATCTGTTGTTACCAAGAGTAACCATGTAGAGTATTTATGTCACTCTAATCACCTTGTAAAGTAGGTATTTTAATCCCTATTTAAAAATAAGGAAACTGAATCTTCAATTAGTTCAGTTCAGTTCAGTCGCTCAGTCGTGTCTGACTCTTTGCGACCCCATGAATCGCAGCATGCCAGGCCTCCCTGTCCATCACCAACTCCCGGAGTTTACTCAAACTCATGTCCATCGAGTCGGTGATGCCATCCAACCATCTAAGAGGCTTTTTAGTTCCTCTTCACTTTCTGCCATAAGGGTGGTGTCATCTGCATATCTGAGGTTATTGATATTTCTCCCGGCAATTTTGATTCCAGCTTGTGCTTCTTTCAGCCCAGCGTTTCTCATGATGTACTTTGCATATAAGTTAAATAAGCAGGGTGACAATATACAGCCTGACATACTCCTTTTCCTATTTGGAACCAGTCTGTTGTTCCATGTCAAGTTCTAACTGTTGCTTCCTGACCTGTATACAGGTTTCTCAAGAGGCAGGTCAGGTGGTCTGGTATTCCCATATCTTGAAGAATTTTCCACAGTTTATTGTGATCCACATAGTCAAAGGCTTTGGCATAGTCAATAAAGCAGAAATAGATGTTTTTCTGGAACTCTCTTGCTTTGTTGATTATCCAGTGGTGTTGGCAATTTGATCTCTGGTTCTTCTGTCTTTTCTAAAACCAGGTTGGACATCTGGAAGTTCACGTTTCACATATTGCTGAAACCTGGCTTGGAGAATTTTGAGCATGACTTTACTAGCGTGTGAGATGAGTGCAATTGTGCAGTAGTTTGGGCATTCTTTGGCATCTTCAATCAAGCTAAGTAATTTCCCAAGATCACATGAGTAGAAGAGGACAGTCCTAGAATTTGAACCCAGGCCCAATCTGACTCTGGCACCTATGCTTTGAGCCACTCTGCATCACTGGCCACCAGAGAAGCAAGACCTAGTTAGAAGGCCCCGAAGAGAAACCAGACCCAGCCCGGCACACTGCCGGGTCACTAGAGCCTAGGGACACGGTGGGACCACACCCACAGCTGTTATTTTTTTGTGGTTGGGAGGAGCAGTTTTTCTCCTGAGCACAGCCTCAGACAGTGAACTTAAAGGAATAAATGAATGCAGGAGTGAATGGAACTCTAGGACAGTGGTCCCCAGCCTTCCTGGCACCAGGGACGAATTTCGTGAAAGACAATTTTTCCATGGACCAGAATGGATGGAGAAATGGTTTGGGGATGATTCAAGTGCACATTTACTGTGCACTTCATTTCTAATCTGGGCTTCCCTCATAGCTTAGTTGGTAAAGAATCCGCCTGCAATGCAGGAGACTCCAGCTTGATTCCTGGGTCGGGAAGATCTGCTGGAGAAGGGGTAGGCTACCCACTCCAGTATTCCTGGGCTTTCCCTTGTGGCTCAGCTGGTAAAGAATCCTGCATTGCACGAAACCTGGGTTCGATCCCTGGGTTGGGAAGATCCCCTGGAGAAAGGAAAGGCTACCCACTCCAGTATTCTGGCCTAGAGAATTCCATGGACTGTATAGTCCATGGGGTCACAAAGGGTCAGACACGACTGAGCGACTTTCACTTTCTTTCTAGTCTTATGCCTCTACTGACTGTTCAGAAGCCCAGAGACTGTCGACCTTTGACTTAAGAGACTACGTGAGGCCTGATGAGACCAGCTTACTGTTGACATCTGAAAAGTGGCATGGCTTGATTAATGACTCCTGAAGTTCCAGCCAACTTAAACATCTGCAAATATTATAACATTTAGTTGCCATGTGAGGTAGCCAAAACCTGATTAATGAAGAAATACCTAAATGAGTAAGCCCAGGACTTAGTAGGTCAGGGTAATAAGGCTCAAGGGGCCTGGGGAAGTGGGACCAGCAGCATCTAGACTCCTCTGTAGCTTGTCCACTTAACAGCTCCGAAACCTTCAGGGACCTGCTTGACCATCTTGCCTATACAATGAGGATAATGATAGCTATCTCACAGATTCTGCGCAGACTAAATGAACATAGTTATATATGTTAATGTAAAACATCTCCAGCAATGCTTGGTTTGTCAATAATAATTGCAAAAAAATGTTTTAACTTCCTTCCACAGGTAATTCCCTCCACCAAGAGGTGTTCTCCTGGGACTAGGAAGCTAACTTTAAGGCATCGTAAACCAATCACAAGGTAAACCTTTTCCAACAAAGGTAACATCACTATCACAACCAGAGAAACAAAACAACCCAAACCAAAGCAGGAATTCACTTGTTTTGACATCCCCTACCCCGGGGGTAGGTCAGGTAAGTGGAATGCGCTCCAAGTCTCCAAGCCTGAGGCTGTCTCTCTGGTCCCACAGGGAGGCAAACACCTCAGAGCTCTGACCACATCGGGGATCAGGGTCACTTTCCATCAAGCCCAGAAATGTGGAAAGTACAGTGAACCCTGCCAAGCCAACACCTGCTGGGAAAACTAGGGTTTCACAAGACAGACATATCTAAAATGTTTTCACAGGCCACAAGATGGGCAAGAAACAAGGAAAGTTACGTGGGGATGGGGGTGGGGGGTGGGGTACCATAAAATCCACATGGTGAGGTTTAAAGAACAGGCTCTTTACGGGAGGGGGAGGCCCAGGAGGAACCTGGTGCCCACCCGTCCTGCCTACCTGCGCACCACCAGCCGCAGGGTCTTGTAGGATCCTTTCACCAAGGAAACGGCCTCCCTCCGGGAGCTGCTCAGTGCCACCTCGTTGATGTTCACCACCTCGTCTCCAGCCCGCAGTCTGGAGCTCACCAGGTCCGCTTTGCCCCCTTCTTTGATCTGCTCGAAGAGAGGAGAATCCACAAGTGAGCAGCCTGTTTCCCCCAGAGCCCGCTCACTGGCTGCGGCCACGCCCACCCCCAGCATCCACAAGGCAGGGATGATTTCTTATCTCCACACCTTCCAGCACCCAGCACCCAGCCAGCCACAGAAGGCACTCAGAAACAGAGGCTGAAGGGCTGAAAGAACTCGATTTCCATCCAAAAGCCACTCACGACCTCCATCTTCAGCACCCCCTCCAAGTACCTCAAAGCAACTGTTTTATTGCTTTAGAAATTGCCTTCTTCATTCCTCTTTTTTTTTTTTGTCTAAAATTAGATGCCCTCCTCTGCTATTTGGGGGCTTCCCAGGTGGGGCTAGTGGTAAAGAACCTGCCTGCCAATGCAAGAGATGTAAGAGACACAGTTTCAATCCCTGGGTGGGAAAGATCCCCTGGAGGAGGAAATGGCAACCCACTCCAGTATTCTTGCCTGGAGAATCTCATGAACAGAGGAGCCTGGAGGGCTACGGTCCATGAGGTCACAAAGAGTGGGACATGACTGAAGTGACTTAGCGCACACACACAAAATTATAACTCAGTGGATAAATAAGTGGTGGTGCATCCAGACAATGGAATATTATTTAGCACTAAAAAGAAATGAACTCACCAGCCATGAAAAGGCATGGAAGAACTTTCAAAGCATGTTAATAAGTGAAAGAAGCCAGTATCAAAAGGTTACATATAGGATGGTTCCAACTCTATGACATTCTGGAAAAGACAAAATTATGGAAACAATAGAAAGATCAGTAATTAGATAGATGGGCAGAATAGACAGAGCACATAGGATGTTTAGAACCATGAAATTATTCTGTGATACTATAAGGTTGGATACATGACATTATACCATAGACTGTACAACACCAAGAGTGAACTCTAACATCAACTATGGACTTTGGGTGATAAGCATATGTCATTGTAGGTTCATCAGTCATAACACATGCACCACTGTGACAAGAAGATTGGCAATGGGAGAGGCTATGCAAGCAATAAAGGAGCGGGGGTACACGGAAGTTCTATCTACTTTCTGCTCACCTTTGCTGTGAATTTTAAAACTGATGAAATTCTCCAGGCCAGAATACAGGAGTGGGTAGCTGTTCCCTTCTCCAGGAGATCTTCCCAACCCAGGGATGGAACCCAGGTCTCACACATTGCAGGCAGATTCTTTACCAGCTGAGCCACCAGGAAAGCCCAAACAGAAAATTACCTCACTGCAGCAACTGAGTTAACAAGGGTAGTGTTAGCCAATCAGTCGTGTTTGACTCTCTTTGAGATCGCATAGACTGTAGCCTGCCAGACTACTCCATCCATGGGATTCTCCAGGCAAGAATACTGGAGTGGGTTGCCATTCCCTTCTCCAGGGGATCTTCCCAATCCAAGGATCAAACCCAGGTCTCCTGCAGTGCATAGAGATTCCTTACCATCTGAGCCACCAGGGAAGCATTTTTTATTAAATAAATAAAGTCTACTAAAAATCCTAATTCATTCAACAAAGCGATTCAACACTCGCTTTATGCCAGAAGTTGTTCCAGGAGCTAAGGCTGTAACATTGGGCAAGACATACAGAAACCCTTTCTCTTCTGGAGCTTAAGGCAGAGGCAGAGAGCATACACTAAACAGAATAAACAAGTAACTGGTGTTAGAGGTTGATGAAGTGGTCTTCCCTGGTGGTCCGGGGGTTAAGGATCTGCCTGCCAATGAAGAAGACACAGGTTTGATCCCAGGTCCAGGAAGATTCCACATACCTTACAGCAACCAAGCTTGTGAGCCACCACTGCCAAAACCCACGCACCCTAGAGCTGGTGCTCCACAGCAAAAGAAGACACCCCAGTGAGAAGCCCACACACCACAACTAGAGAGAAGGGCCTGATTCCTGCAACTGGAGAAAAGCCCACACCGCAATAAAGACCCCGCACAGCCACAAATTAAAAATAAAATAAACGATAGGCAGCTTTTTTTTTTAATTGACAAAGTGCTTTGGAAACCAACAGAGCAAAATAATGCTTGATCCTATGGCATGTCAGTAATGACAAAATGGAATTAAAAGGGACAAAAATAAAACAAAAACAAGTAAACAAGCCTGACCCATATAGCATTCTTTTTTCAATAATTACTCTCCAGAATTGCCCACATGTTCAAAAACCTTCAGTAGGCCTTAATATGTATAAAATAATCAAATTCCTATAAAAATTTTGTAAATTGCATCCTTGCTAACTTTTGTTTTAGCATAATGTATGCTAAAATTAATACTTTATTTTTAAGATAGTGTTCATTAATTTATTATTAAATCACTATATTCATTAATTTATTATGAAGGATAAAAATAACACAGAAAGTATGTAAAGGGAAAAGTAAGTCATACCCTGGCTCATTCCATTTTACTTTGTAAAGGTAACCACCATCAGGGCTTCCCTGGTGGTCCAGTGGTTAAAAATCTGCCTTGCAATTCAAGAGACACCAGTTCGATCCCTGGTCCAGGAAGATTCCACATGCCAAGAGGCAGCTAAGCCCTGTGCCAAAACGAATGAGGCTGTGCTCTGGAGCCTGTGAGCCACAACCACACAGCCATGTGCTGCAGCTACTGAAAGCAAGCTGAGCACCCTAGATCCTGTGCTCCGCAACAAGAGAAGCCCCTGCAGTGAGAAGCCCGAGCAGGCCAAGAAGACTAGCTCCTGCTCACCATAACTAGAGAAAGCCCTCTCAGAGCAGCAAAGACCCAGCATGGCCAAAAGTACAAATACATATTAATAAATATTGATTATTTTTAAAAAAATAAAGGCAACTACTATTTACAGTTTAGCTTACGAATGTCATATACAGATGGCCCCTGACTTAACGTGGTTCAATTTACAATTTTTCTACTTTACAGTGGTGTGAAAGTGATACTCATTCAGTAGGAACTGCAGCATACTCTCTCATGATGCTGGGCGGTAGCAGCAGCCACAGCTTGCAGTCAGCTAAGCAATCACCAGGATAAAGACTGATAGACTTAAAGCCATTCTGTGTCCTTACTACCATCCTGCTTTCACTTACCAGTATAGCAGTCAGTAAATTACATGAAATATTCAGCACTATTATTAAACAGTCTTCATTTTAGATGATTTGCCCAACTGTAGGCTAATGTTAAGTGTTCTGAGCATGTTTACGGTGGGCTAAGTTCAGTAGGTTAGATGTATCAAATGTATTTTCGTTGTAATAATATTGTCAACTTACAATGAGGGTATTGGGATATAACCTCATTGTAAGTCAATGAAGACCTCTGTGTGTGTGTGTGTGTGTGTGTGTGTGTGCATGCATTTATGTGTGTGTATATTTCTTCTTTTCACAAAAATGACATCACACTATACCCACCCCATCGACCATCTTTTGGCTTTTAACAGAGAGGCATTAAGCTGAGGTGGTTAAGAGTTTGAGGCATCAAATAGGTAACTTAGTTAAGAGGAAGTCATATATTCTCTCGAGTCTTCAGACTCCCATCTTAACAGGAGATAGCAATAGCAGAACTGCTATTCAGGCGGCTTGAATGAGATAAGCCGCTTGAATTGGTGAATGCGGTTCCAGTTCCTGGATTATGGTAAGATTTTATAAGTAGTAGCCATTGTTTTCAAAAGTCATATATATCATGAAAATACTTCCTTTTATACCAGATTCTACTATAACATCTTGGTACAATTCATTTAGCCATCCTTTCTTGCTGGTCACTCCCCCCTGCCTTTCTACCCTTTTCATCCCACTAAACTTCCCTGCCAACCTCTTGTAAATTCACTTTCCCCCAAACATTCTGGGCACACTCTAACCTCAAGCCCTACCCCAGCGGCTCAGTCACCGTCTACCTGGATCACTCCCCACTACCCACAGCACCATGGTCGCCTATAATAACTGCAGTATTCCCTCATGGTGAAGAGCTGGAGCTCTGGAGCCAGATAGTCTGGCTCTGAGGCTTCCCAGCTGCGCGCCTTTGAGCAGCTTATTTAACCTTACGGAGCCTCCGTTTCCTCTTCTGTAAGATGATAAGGTTTATCACAGTCTGTCGTGAGGATCAAGTGAGTTTGTCAAGAAAAGGGCTTGGCACATAGTATGTGTGTGTTAGTCTCTCGGTCATGTCTGACTCTTTGCATCTCCATGGATGGTAGCCCATCAGACTCTTCTGTCCATGAAATTCGCCAGGCAAGAATACTGGAGTGGGTTGCCATGCCCTGCTCCAGGGGATTTTCCCAGCCCAGGGGTTCACAGAGTATGTATTCAATAAAGTTGAAGTCTATTGACTATCCATCCTTTGAGGCCAAGTTCAAACCCCATCTCCTCTAAGCCTTTTCTGATCTCTCATATATATCTCCCCACTCCCGTGCACCTACAATCTGTCCTTTAAGAAGTGTCCGCCCCATTGTGGGAGAACCAAATGAATAAAACATTACATAAACTGTGAAATGACATTACAACAATAATAAACTAAATAGATAATTTACTAAATAGATAGTTTATTATTGTTATACTACTTGAACAAATGCTTGTGGTTATCACACTGTCTTTCAGCACAGCTATTTAAGTCTGTGCCTGTTCCCTGCCCACACATCCCACCCATCCCCAGCTTGGGCTGTGAACTCTGAAGAGGAACTGACTCCATCTTTACTTAGCCCAGAATGCCTCCCCAGAGGTTTGCACACAGCACCACCTCGTAGTGATTCGTTCATTCAGCCAAGATTCACTGAGCATCTACTGTGTGCCAGGTTTGGAGCTAAAAGCTGAGGGGACAATGATGAACACCACAGACACAACAGTCCTATTTAAGTCCCAGTTTGTAGAATTAAATCCCCTCTCTGCTGCTCTACTATTTGCCAATATTTTCAATAAGATGAGAATGGAATGAGGCCTAGGAAATAACCAATTTCTTATACTAAAAAGGAAGTCAAGAAAAGCTTGTCTGTATAGTTTATATCATATTTTTCTCATGACTGATTTAACG